ATGACCCTGTGAAAGAAGGCGTTCCGTCGGACATCCGAGTGAGCCGGCTTCCTCTGCAGTTTGAAAGGATGACCAGGGATAGAGTGTTTCAATTAAAGCCTCTCAATCACCAAAGATTGTGGGTTCGGATCCCATGTCACCCAGGCCTGGGGTTGGGTATGGCTGGCTGATAACAGCCAGTAAGTCAGAAACGGACATCCAAGCCTCCATTGCCTTTGCCGGTACTCCTTCTTGCATCAATACTAGTCAATTATGTGGCTGCCCGCAGGGCTCTTGATCTAGGACCAAGACACATCGAGACAAGTATGCTCCGGCACATGATTGGTTAACGCCGTGTGGTAGCCTGCCATCGTGATGGTCGGCGTGAATGCTACTCATGCCGCCTCAGGTCAGTTACTGCCTCTGCGTGAGTGACTCAGCCTTCGACTTGCCGACACTGTGGGACTGATCAGTATTTCTGTCACCATAGCAGTTAAGGTTGTCCAGGTAACTTTTTCCCTGACTTTTGATTACGAAAACCCTCGTGTTTTCGACTCCTGTACTTCGAAGCCCCTTCAACGGTTGAATATTTTTGGCCGGTAAATGTTCATGATTATGACGATGGTGACACCGATGAGAAGTCGTCCTTCCGAATGCGGTACAGACCTCATTATTTGCCGAAGCAGTCATCGAGTTAAGTGTCAACGGCCGACTGGGGGGAAGAGTGCGTCCCTCCAAAATAAATTTGCATATGCAATTAACCACTGGCACTATTATTCAGCACACGATCTTTCCCAACAGACCAGTGATTGCCTCTGAATGCGTGCAAGGTTCCACCGTAAACCAATTAACAAGTTTTTTCTGCCCTTTTGCGTACGTCGCCGTGCACTCTGCATCTGCCGTTTGCATCGCCTCGAAACGTTTACATGTTGCGTCTCCTTAAGTTCAACCTAGTGCGTTTATGTTACAGTGCATAAACGGAAACGTCACCCCGAATGTTTATCACAGGCAGGACTAGATGAAGGTAATGCCGTAAGTAGTTCTGTCAGGATTCGATTATTAGTGGCGACGGTTGCAGTAGGTAGAGCAGCAATCGACCATCTTAAATTCAAGAATTTAACTAAACACGGAATGGCACATTCGTACTTCATGCTTCTGAGGTTATACGCCTGCCTCTCACAGATTAATTTGGTCGATTAAAGTCTGCTTGGACGGGACGAGAGCAAAACTGGATTGGCTCTTATATTCCCGCCCTGATTTTATCGGAGAACACAAACGAATTAGAAGGTTCAAACAGGATCTCTGACAATGTTGCGACAAGTTGCGTATGACTGTATGGACAACGAACTTTGAAATAGCATAGGCTGCATCTTAAGGGGAGAGGCGCCATTCACTGGTAGGGGTTTCTCTGAGGCTGAAGCCCCGAGCGGTGATTTCGGCTAGCCTCCCTCAGAGACTGGATAAGTACATTTACATTCTGGAAGTTGCGTAGATATTTAATGCAGACTGTGGGGCACATTCGCACGCGGCTTTACTGCTACTTGTGATCGATATTTCTTTTTTTTCTTCTTCTTCTTCTTCGTCCTCTTTTGACATACTTCTTTGGAATTACATTTTCAGTACTGTGGAATGTAGTTTGCTGCGCATCGAGACTGTTCAACCCTCCACTTGAAAGAAATTGCTGGCACAAGTGTTTCGTTCTTGTTCTATCACAGGAGGGTTCTCATGTGAAGGGGCTGTAGCCCTGTCTGCAATCACTGAAAACGTTTCGCCAGAATTGTCAGGAATGCTGGGAAACGAATTGTTCACGTGCGTTTGAGATGGCCACAAGTTAAATTCTTAAGTAACTGAATAAAACGGAGTTTAGGACTGCGCAGTGGTAAGAACCGCCTTGTGCTATTTTGTTTCATAACGAACAGAATATTATCGTGTCCTCATGCACTCCAAGTGACGAGACGTTTCTATTCCTGATTTTTCTGCAGAAGGAGCTCCAAACCGTTAGGATATTTCCTAATCGCACTTACTAACAGCATACCTTAGGCACAAAGAATTTCGTTTCAGAAGCCTTTACTCGGTACCCTTACCTGCGTCAGTGAAGGGTACTCTCATTTTTAAAAAGCAAACATAGACGATATAATCTGTGGTAAAACCCATTTTACCTGGTTAGGAATGCCACTGTAGTCAGCTTTCTGCCTCCTTATCGGCATTTATAACTATATTTGTCACGAGTTCTGGGTCGGATCTTATTTCGTAGCCGTACCTGCAGTTGGCAAGCTCCAGCCTAACCCCCAACCCCAACCTCTAACCTTAACCCCTAACCGTAACCCCAATCCCTAACCTTGATCCATAACCCGTTACAGGTACATCTACGAAATAAGGTCTTGCCGAGTTATGTTTTGCGTAGAATTTGCATGCTACGATTTCCGCGTACACAATAAGTCTTAATGATTTTGTGAATTAATCCGGTTAATTCACATCGGTAGTGCCCCGTTAATTAGCCAACGGCCACGTGTGAGTTTATCGACCGAAACAGCTGCCCCTGCAAACAGTTGCATCCTCGGCGGATCTAAGAACGCAACGGTCAAACGTTGGAAAGTTAGATGGAAACTTCTCGCCTTCTGATGTAGAGACAACAGTGTACCTCGGTAAGGAAAGAGGGCTGAATTCTAGTGGGATATGTGTGTACAGTCCTTCCGTTCGGGTTATGTTTTGACCGCAAACTGAGAAGTGAGTAGATGCTTGGCAAAGGATCCGCCGAACGCGGCAAGACTTGAGGAATAACGAGTTGGCTCATGAAAGTTCCTGAATGCAGCTCAAAAAGATATTGAAAAAATGGTCGAAACTGTTGTGGCATTTCAATTCTAGTCAACAACTCTGCAAGCTGCAACTACTGGTGAAGGACTAGTTGAAACCAGATACCAAACCAGGGCCTAGCCGTCGTGTTCGCGTCGCATTGATGTTATCTTTTGTCTGGTATTTAGGCGGCACAGGCTTTTAGTGATGTACAGCAGATCCAGCGTTTAACGCGTCAGTGGCTCAACAAGTTTGCTTTAGTGAGCTGTGAAAATTATTGCCCAACAACACTTAATCTTTAATCACCTTAGACCACTTTCTGTAGTCTACTGGTCAGTCGGTCGGTAAGGAAAGCCCTATTTCAAGGGTACGAGAAACGTTCAGTGATCCTTTCTGATTACTTGGGCATGTAGGCGGTAAAATAGCAACCACCAATCAGAAACTAAAAGTTCTTTTACACAGATGAGGGCAAATAAGCCCGAATGGATTTTCCGGCGTCGCTTTTATTTGTGGGCAATACTGCCTGAATGAGGTATCTTCGATTACACGCACGCACGCTGAGTGCATCGGCAAATTAACCATTTTCCATGTTCTAGTAACATTATTGACCGACGGATCGTTTACGAGCCTCAACCAGCCGAATGGTTTGTCGGCCGGCATGTTTCACGTACCGAACCAAATACTTTGTCCGGGCGTAGGGCATAGTATTAGTCTGAAACCTAAACAAATGGACTCTCGAAACTTGTAAAAGGCGTGCTTGCAAGTGACACCTTAGGAGCAGAATGCTTATAATTGTAACGAGGCCTAGGTCGGATACGGGTACCTCCGTGTTACAGATGGCCTTGGGCTAAACCCCAGGGGGTGAAACTTAAGAGTAGGTGAATTGGCGTTAGATTTAGCGTTGCCGCGAGGGATAAAGGGTTATTGTTGGGTTTGAAATTGGGAAGGTTACGGTTTGGCTTAGCTTTAAGACACCAAAAGACAGGTGACAGCAGATAAAAGAGAAACAGCCATTCCGGCGTCGCTGAAATACGTTGGCAGTACTGTCCGAATGCGACATATTTTATTGCAAGTACGCGGGCTGAATCTGTCCGCCATTTGACCATTTTTCATGTCGTAGCAACATCATTGGTTGATAGACCGTTCGCGGACCTCGGCAGACTAAATGGTTCGCCGGCCAGCTCGCTCCACGTACCTAACCAAGTACTTTGTCCGGGCGAAGGGCATAGTACTAGTCTGAACGCTAGATAAATAAACTCTCGAAACTTGTAAAAGGCGCGCTTGAAAGTGACATCTTAGGAGCAGAATGCCTATGACAAGAATGCAACTCAGACCAATGACGGCACCCGGCTTAATACGACGTCAACTAGCTGTCTTAACATTGCCAAATCTTAACTGCAAGTCCCGCAGCAGATCTGTCACCAGAATTCTCACGTCTTAGTCTGTTAATTGTTTTGTCATGTGCAGGGCTGCTGGTTAGGCTACAAGTCTTTTTTCTCAACCATATCTATTGCCATCACTCCAACAGCTTCTTGTCCATTTTCGTGCATAAAATGAATTGTGAAGCAACCTAAAGAAAGAGCTACCGTCCGAGAATTCTGACACGAAGCGTACTTAACAGAACCGAACTTTCATCTACCATTGAAAAATGAGTGAAAACTTTAGTAAACAGGCCTCCGTCTGAGTGATTAGCAGATTTTAATCCTTGGTTATTGCTGGTCATGTGGGGACCCGCGGCAGCTTTAGACGCGGACCTCAAAGGTATAATGGAAATACCTGTCGCAACAATTTAAGACCTAGGCGGACACTAGTCATTGCAACATTCAAGCCAGGTCCCGAGTAAGAAGACGGGATATTGGAAGCCCGTAAATAGAGCATTATACTCGGAGGACAGAGCACGTGAGGCCCGTTATCTCCGTGACCAGTTTGTGCAACATGGCTATCCGAGAGCATTCATAAGTCGCTGCCTACGCGGCCGCCACCAGAGAACTCGAACATCAACGCCACCGACGATATGGCATTCTCTGCCATACATCAAGGGTGTTTCAGAAGCGACCGAGCGCATTGCTGCGGAGCTAGGTGTTGGAATTGCACACCGCCCCAAAGCCACCATGCGCAACAGGGTCATGAAAATCAAAGACCGGTTAAAACCTGAAGAGCAATCTGGAGTAGTGTATCGCATTCCGTGTCAAAATTGTCCTTGTAACTACACATCACAGACTGGACGCATGCTCGGATCGCGCATACGCGAACAAAAGCTGGCTGTGCGGCGAGGCGACGCACTATCACAAGTGGCTGCCCACACCTACGAAATGGGTCACAAGTTTGACTTCGCAGCCACCAAAATAGTCGCCCACGCCGGAAACAAAACAAGCCGAGAATTTATTGAAGCCTGGGCCTCGGATGAGAACTCAGTCAATCGATTTATCGATCTGGCGCCGGCGTACAGAGCCCTTCGTAGTCACCTCCAGTCGTGCGACGTCGGTCGATGATTGGGCCTACGTGCCTTATAACTGCCGCCTGTCCTGTTTCTGACGATGGACTCCTGTACGAGTCTGAAAGTTCAGGACAATAAAGGAAGTGTTCCGGTGCTCGACTCTTCTTCTTCACTTATGCGTACACCTGGAACTCGAAATTTCGCCTTCATTCGCATTATACTCTGTGCAGAGTGAGTGGAAGGCGGGTTTAAGCCAGCTAACAACCGGACGAAGGCACACTTCCCGCGCCACGAAAGCAGGCGTCGGAGAGTCGACCTTAAATTTGATTGTCCAGTCTGGATAGTTGTAATTTGCCGAGAACCGGACTGTCACTGCTACGAGTGCGGAGCGCAGGGTCGCGTCAGGCGTCAGGAGTAGGGTTTCTATAGAGCATTCAATGGCAGCCGGACGTTTGCAGGCCCTCGTAACTCTACTCGACAATTAGTATTCTCTTATCCTCCCACCATTCCTTCCGTGAATGAGCGTCGCACGCACTCTTCCGCCCTTTTGATGTCACCGGTCCCTCCACCACCCCACTGTCTTTTCAGATCGTACATTTACACACAGAACGTATATGGTACACAACCGAAGACGCAAGTTTGTCAGAACTCTGCAGCTCCTCCTGTTTAAATATTCGTCCGCTTCCTTCATCGTTATCTATCGCAGTTTAAACTCGAGAAACGGACGACTTGAGACTCCTACCACAATGGCGGCTTGCAGTCAAATCACAGTTATGGGCGACGTCGGCGTGCCCTTACTAAACTGGTTAACTGGTCAAAGGTTTCGAAGTAGTCAGCTTTACTTGAAAAGCCAATTTGGCCAAAATGACTTTTCAAGTTTAAAATGCGCAATATTCGCAGACCTAATTCAGTGCTTAGTTTTTTTTTTAAAAAAAACATGCGAAGCGGAGACAATGGTTAGTGACCTCATAACTCACCACGCGATCACACTGGACTGGAGAAAATCGCAGAGTTCAACCTCTGAGTTTACAGAACAACCGCCTTCAAAGGATTTCCAACCAGTCCTCGATCGAGATGCAGAAAGCAACATGCATGCGTTTCCACAGCACCAGGAATTCCCACAAATCGGTTTCGCCCATAGTAGAGAAACTGTAGGTCGGAAGTGCGCAACTAGGCAATTCGGTTGTGTTGAAATCTGATCGCCAGGGGGTTTTCGAATGAGCAAACCTAGAAACTGTGTGTGCGGAAACTGAAAGACATCCTTCACGCCTTTGTTCAGATGAAATCCCATTAACCGACTATCTACACCCAGTTTACCTTAGGCACACCCCCAAGGCAGTCCGTTTAAAGTCAGCCTTCGGACAGACAGAGGTGTAAAAGTGTAGGTAAACCCCATTCCTCCTCGCCGTACCCAAAAACCGGTCTTGGTGCCTAGCCCACATGTTGGTGTGCTGAATTGCAAAGCGATTTCTTGGTGTGAACTTTTGCAGTACTCGCCCAACCACACAAATGTAACATGTCACCGTAAATGACGATCCGATCTAAAAAGTCCTCTCTAGAGTGGAAAACTACTACTACTACTACTACTACTACTACTACTACTACTACTACTACTACTACTACTACTACTACTACTACTACTACTACTACTACTACTACTTCTACTACTTCTACTACTTCTACTACTACTACTACTACTACTACTACTACTACTACTACTACTACTACTACTCCCACTCCTCCCTTACAGCGAGGATTTTCGCGGACTTCAATGTCGTCCCCTCACTTCGACTCCAAGCTATTTGTTGGCGATCACGGCGGATTCCTCTGTTTTCGCTACCTGCCAGTAGTTTGGCCGGTTGCATTTACCTACCCTTTGATCGTCCTCGCAGCCTTCATTGTCCCCTTCTTAGTTGGACTCTAAGCCGACAGTGACTGATCGCGTTGGGTTCTTCCTGTCTCGCCACCTTAACGGTTGTTTCTGCCGTCATTCCAAAAATATTATGATCACCTCTGCAGCGAATAGCCTCATCCGGTTTAAGAATTTTACCTTGACAAGGAACGTTTCGAGCAATTAAGTACTCTCACCTGTAGGGCAGTCCTGCCCCACACGCGTATTTACCTTCCCATGAGCGGCAGTTCCTTTTCGCCTTAGAGGCGAATCAAATCATATTCATTTTGTCTTTTTCGGCCACATTTGGGAGGGGGTCTTTTTCACTGTTCGCTAACCGTTCTTCATATCAGACTGCCTATTTTATGTGCACAAACTGAACACTGTACAGTGTTTGCCTACTCGTTCTAAAAGTCAGTCGACAATTTATTTGACTTGCCATGAAGGTGCCCTTATCGGCGCTAAATAAAACTATTTATTTATTTATTTAGAACGTTAACAACAGGTTCGACAGTGGTAATGTCGAAGTTGTAGTTCTCATGTTCTGAGAGGCTCTTGATACAGCTGTCCATCGGCTTACTTTGAAAAACCGCCTGACTCTAGGCTGGGAAGAGGAAGGGCTCGCCGAAAGGTATTTGTTGAACTGCTGACGTTTCGAAGATATCGGTCGGCTCATTATTGTCAAGACGTTAAATGTACTTGATTGAACGGAAACGGGAATGGCGTGCTGTGCTAGTCGACCTTGAGCCGATCGATTTTTTCCTCTTTCGCTCCCTCGATCTACTGGCGGATGTTTGACGGGCTTGACAGCTGCGTGTGTTATGAGTCATCGCCTCGATAATGGTCAGTCGGTCCGGTAGCTCTTTTTCTCCACCCGCCGGGGGTAAGTTCGTAGTCGGTCTGTCTGCGTGGCCGTCTTGCCCCGGTCCATGTGTGCGAAATGACGCAGGACTTTAAAAACTGCAGGAAGTTCAAGGTACCTGTTGATGGAGTTGGGACTTGGATACCGCGTCGTAAGTGTTAGTCGGCCTAAGATGGTCGCTCCCGACGGTCGAAAGTATGAATAGTTTCTTCAATGTGCATTGGGAGTTGAGAGTTTGGGTGGAGTCTTCGGTTTTCCAGTTTGTGCTCGTGTAGGGGGATCTGCAATCTCCGTCTGGGGTAGAAAAAGAATCCCCGGCTAACGCGCTTAAATTGTCAGATCATAATAGCTTCTCTCTGGGCCTTGTACTCCTTATGTCTTCTAACTGAAGAGATGTCATCAGAAGTCCAAATTCGAAGCAGGAGGTCCCTACCTAAGACAATCAGTCTGGAGAAGGCGAACCACAGGGAGCTCATAGGAGTAACACAAAAATCCCAGAACTTTTAATGAACTTAAAAGTGAATACAGATGCGCAATCAGGCGAGCTTTAACTTTCTCTAGTTCGACACCGTCAAAACTGCCTACGGACGGCTGACCGCGAGAACACGTAGACTCTCGCTAGTGGCGGATGTTTCCGATACCTCGTTGAAGAGGGCTTTCACACAGTGGATACAAATGTTGTCCCAGCACACCTCGAATGTTGGGCAGTGACAAAGTCTCAATGCTTCTTCCCTGACATGCAGGTCTTAAAGAACACAGAGGCAGGCGACTAAGTTAATTCCCAAGCCCGAAATTCGCCTCCGAGCGAAAGTCTCAGAGGGGTTTCAACTCCCCACGTCTCATCAGGAACGACTGCGCAAGGACCATTTTGGGACAAGCAAGAGAGGCAGTGAGATAGACTGCGCAGACTATGCTTCACTTTCCCAAACATATGCATATTCCAGGACAAAGCAAAGAGCTGAATGAACCCAGGTGTCAACACAATCCAACAGACAAGCCACTCATAATGTGCTACTGTCTTGTAGAACGGGTTACCCCGGTAACGTTTTAGTCCACACGTCTTTTCCCCTCAAGAGGCGCCTCAATGCCTTTTGGGACTCACGGCAGCCCATCAAACGAGGGGCTTGCCTGGGACTACGTGATACGCACTCTACGAGTCTGTAGTGTAAAAGTGCCTGCAGCCGATACCACGTTCTTTACCCCAGCTTTGCATACATCCGCATGGCCGAGATTCCTTATCATGAACCTTTTTTCTGTTGACACCGACAGCCTGCGTGTTTTACTACGATCCTACGTTCTGTTGTGCGGTTATTTGTCTGGCAAAGGGACGCTCACCGATCGCATTACGGGACATACTCGCCTTGCGCCGTATAGAGGCTCAATCGAAGAGAGTCGCCGACAGCCCCTCTACCTAACCGCATGGACTATCGTCTGACTGACAAACCACTGCAAGAAGTCGACGCCCAGAAGGACTTGGGTGTATGGATCACAACCTCGCTTAAGTCTTCGCTGCAATGCTCAACGGTAGCCAATTCGGCGATGTCCATTCTATACCTCTTCAAACGGGCGTTCTCCTCCTTTGATGAAGACTGTTTCGCTAAGGTCTTTCAAGCTTTTGTGCGAGCGCATCTGGAGTTTGCTATCCAAGCATGGAGACCCTGGACTGCTAAAGACCTCGGCATACTCGACAAAGTTCAACGGCGAACAACGAAACTTGTATCTGAGAAGTGGTCACTACCTTACGAAACACGATTAACTAATCTCGACCTCTTTCCTTTGAGTTACAGACAGCTACGTGGGGACCTGATACAAGTTTTCCGTATCGTGCGCAATCAGGTCTGCTGCCTTGCATCTGGAGACTTCTTCGAATTGGCTACTACGACTAACTTGAGAGGCCATCCACTCAAACTATATGTGACTGGTGCCCGGCTAGACACACGAAAGTTCTTCTCCAGCAGAGTGCTTGCAGCTCTGAATGCTTCGCCTGGGGATGTCGTTATGTCGGGATCCGTAGGCACTTTTTAACAGAGGATAGATCAACATTGGAGCGCGCACCACAATAACGCCGTACTACAGCCACCTTCATAGCCAACGTTGATAATTTACTGTCATGCTGATTCTACTGCCAAGGTTCAAGTAACATATGTTTGTGTAATTTATTAATTTTGGACGACGTTGCACCGCTGCTCGCATTCATCACGATGCCTGCAAACTAAAAAAAAATTTACTTCATTTCCTGTACCTTTTGTGTGCTTCAACTGCCTGCTGCATTTAATCAACAAACCGAGTTCATGTGCCGTATAGAGGCTCAATCGTAGGGACCCGCCGGTAGCCCCTCTACCCTTGTTAATATGTCCGATCACAACCGACAGGATAGCGGATCCCTGGCTAGAACGTTGGACTTCGAACTAACAGAACCCGAGTCCGGGCTTCAGGGGTTGAACATGACTACCTGATGACGGGTAACAGGCCAGAAATGGCCCCTCCAGTCTTCCTTGTCTTTGCCGGCAATGTTATGTTGTCTGCAGTTGCCAGCCGCCCTAGCGGACAGAATAGGCGAAACCAAACATCTATTTTACCGGTATGGTAGTTATCACCTCCAATCACGATTCCGACAGCGTGAGAGCCATGCTTTTAAACAGAATGCACAAAAAAGTCACTCGTAGGACAGAGCACCGACTTCGGCCCAATAATTGGAGGTAAGTCATGCTGATTTGCTGCCTGTGTGCAGAAAATGCCGCCAGTCTGCACTAAGCAGGGCGGAGAAGCTGCCCGTCTGCGTATTCTCAATAATCACTGTCCGACGTGGGTTAAACATATTGTCCGTCCTTGCTTCTGTGACGCTTTTTCTCCGTTTGTTGCACTTGTCTAGGTAAACATGGATACTACTCTATTTTATATAAGTAATGAAACCAGCACATGCAACGATAATATTTTACGATATTGACGACGTCCGTCCTGGGTTGCTCCTTTGAGCACTTTGGAAAAATCGGTTTTCTTCATTGATGAATAGACAGAAATTTTGAGGACCTACTGTTACCAAAAACATGCACGAAAATATTACCACAGTTTATTCTTTTGTGGGAAACGTTAAATGTGGACTTGTTGGGGACGAATAAAATAGGCAGGCGATTGTGGCCTAGAATGCGATTTCTATATAATGGAAAATTTCTTCCTTATACGAATGTGTCGACAAAGTCTGAGGAATGAACCGATTACTGCGAGCTTATTTCCGCTTCACCGCGTGTCTTCGCTAACTGCTCTTTATTTTCGTGTGAAAAAATTATAAAATCCATGAAAAAACGCCCTTCGCAACTCTAAAAGTGTCAGTCTAGCCTCAATGTTTGTTTAAATCAAATCCGCCTTGCAATTTCGGCAACTACCTCAAGGGGAATCATGAGACTGCCATAAACTGGCCTCACGAGACTCAGGGAAGATATGGCAGTCAACCGGAACGTAGAAAGCTACCGAAGTGGTAGAGAAGACCCTTTTACATAGAAACAAATCGATTTAGCCGTTTGTAGAAGGCCCCAACCCGGCGTCTGCAGGTCCCTTGCCATCATCATCGGAGGGCACAGTATTGGAAAATGAAGAAACCAGAATCCATGTGATTGAACAGGAATCCGCCGTGGTATCAGAATACCGTCCGAACTGCTGATGGACAGTCCCTCCAACTGCTATACACCGCAACTTTTGAAAAAATTATTTCGCCATGCGGCATGTACTTTACTTTCCCATTAATGGAGAAGGCAGTTGTCGCGTCCCACAAGTACTTGTGCGCGACTTAACGGACCAACTGGCGAGAAGCAATCACATCTAAAAACTATCCCTTATGGGAATACAGTAGGTGGGCTAACTCGGAAAACTTGCGCAAAATATTCATTTTTCGCTCATTTGGTAGAAAATTACGTCTTTCTTCAATTTTGGACTCGAAGGTAGGGTATAATACGGTTTTGAAAAAGTTTTTAATTGTGAGATTTTTTAATACCCTGAAATGGCCCTTCATGAAACGTCATGTCTCTGCATTTACTAATGTGGCTTGTAATGTTAACAATATGGCTCAAATCCACTGCTCAATTTTATGAACCCCATATGGTCTCCTCCTAATACCGTCGAGCAATGTATGGTCTTCCGTACGCATAAAATATACGGTTTCTATTTTGTGAACTCTGAATGCAAGTG